CGTTTCTGTTTTTTACTACTAATTTACTGCCATGTAGTTTTCCTTTGCGCTGTGGCCTCATTCTTGGTCAGCTTCAGGGATGGCTGTAAAGTCAGTGGCTTGAACCCAGTCAACCGAGTTTCCTTGATTGAAAATGTTTTACTCATTTTCATGATGAACTGAGCCCAACTTTACTATGTTACAACTGATGGTCGGATTAATTACAGTTGATAAGTCTGTTGATACATGTAAATAGTTCTGTGGTTACATTTTTTGTAAATTGGCACAATATAGATAAAATGAACTGAATCATTAATGAAAACGATGAACTTCGTGTCAAACCCAGACTGATGTGCAACTGTCTGAAAATGTTGCTTTGAAATAGGAAGAAATTAAACAGGTTCTTATATTGGGTTCACATTGGTAAAGCGGTAATTTAACCAGAAGCTTTTCTCTACTGTTTCACTGCCGTTAAAATGCAGTCTTGAGGAAAGAAAGCAGCAATGGCGCAAAGAGGAGGAAGAAAGGAAGAGGAATGCACCTGACCCTTCCATCCCAGCGGGTCACTCATTGATGCCTGAAAGCGAGAGGCAGGAGAAACTCAAGTCCCTGAAAGACAGTAGGTCTTCTTTAAATAAACAGATCTACTGTTACCATCAGGCGGAGTGTATGCAGAAGTTCTAACATTGCAAATTCTGTTCTTCATCTCTTTCCCTTAGCCCACCGCTCATTAGTAACCGAGCTGCTCTCCCTCCCCTTAAAGACGGACAGTCTCAGTGTTCGGACACGCCGGGCTCAGCTGGATTATACGCTCTCTGAGATTGAAGAGGCCATAAAAATTTTCTCCAGGGATAAGGTTTATGTCAAACTTGATTCCTAACACACAACGAGACCTTATAAAAGAAGACAAATTTTGTTATTATATTGTTGTGGAGGAGTTTTTTTAGACAAAGAACATATTTTCTAAAGTGATATTATGAAGTTGAATTTTTGAAGTTGCGTGAAGTCATCAGCGCTCACATAAAACTATTTCTGAAGTGATATGCAATTGCTTGTGTATGAATGAAGATCTTTTGTGGATCATAAATGTGTAACCATACCTGTGAAAATTCTAGGATTTTATTACTAAAATAAAAAGGTGATCCACAATGAACAACTTACAAACCTTTTCAAAACAATAAAGTGACATTTATCCTCTAGATTCCAACAGCCTTAAGAGAGAATATGAGAAATAAAAAACCAGGAACCATTGAGTTGTAGAAGCGTACAAACTGTAACGTTTGTTGAACCACCTTTGATGTAATTTCAGTATTCAGTCTTCTTTTACAGGACTCGGCCGTCGTCGTAAATTATGGCTTAAACGAAGGGTGCAAAAGAGAAACTGCCTGGAAATGTCTACAGGGTCAGCTGAAGTGTATTTGAGATTAATCAGATTCCTTAAGATGGCTAAGGAAACTAAATGCTGTAATTAAATTGGAAGGTACATCAACAAAGCATTAGCTCAAGACTGTGCATTCTTATGCAATTAGTTTATTGCTGGTTCTTTACCAGTAGTTTTAGTTTTATTATTTTATTTTATGTGATATATATTGAAATTGTATGCATGTATAAAATGTTTTAAAAGTATTTATCAAAGTCTATTTCTATGCTTTAATTTTAAATTGTGTTTTTTTCAAAACAGATGTGCCCACTTTTAAGAGCATCTTTAAATGTAAGGTCAAGTTGAAATAAAAATTCACACTTTTTTTTTGCTGTCATTTGACTTATTTTTCTTTTTGATTACTATAACTGTTTTGCTGTATAAATTAAGTTTGTTCACTTTTACAGGTTATTAAGAGGATTTCACACTAAAACATGTCATATCTCTCAATCCTTTTGTTTTGTCACCAGAAAATTGAGAAAAAAGGGAGAAACAGCATTATTTAATGTTATAAATAAAAACAAGTGCAAACAACAGCAAATTAAAAAATCTGTGGGCTGAAAGACCTGACAGTCACAACCAAAAAAAAAGCCCAGGGCAACGTTTGTGTATCAAAAGTAAAACTTCAGCATGGAGATTTGACTAGTGACCACTGTACCATTTACATAAGAGGAATCATAATCTTTAAATCAAAATGTCCAGATTATTGTCCACATTACTATTGAGGTGCCCTCACCACCTTCATCCTACCCCCATAGTAAATGAAATACACACATGCAGTCAAATATGCATAAGAATATATTGCAAATAAAAAACATCTGTCAAGATAGAATACAGCTTGGCAACAGTAAAGTAGGTGAAACACTAACCAAGTTGCATGTAATGAGTGATATTGTAGAAATTTTCCCCATTGTTTCATTGTACTTGTCCATCTTATTCATTAGACTGTATTATATTTTCTTAAAAGCTGCCACCATTCCCAGTTCTGAGATCCAATCCTGAAATAATGGGACTTCAGCATCTTTCCACTTTCTCATTATTATCTGTTTGCCAATCAGGATGCTTGTTTGGACCCTGTTAGCCTGGGGTTGTTGTTTTTTTTCCCCCTAGTATAGTCAGTCCTTGCTAACTCCAAAATATACATAAGGATCCAAGTCCAAAAAGCTCTTACCTTTTGGGATGACCACAGTGCATGAATTAAGTCCCCTAACAGCCAGTTACACCTCCAGCATCTGCAGACCCTAGTCTAAGCAGTCTGCTGGGGTACCAGTAGTAACCATGAAAAATCTTGAACTGTATTATTCTTATTCTGATAACTCTGGAGACATGTTTAGCAATATTAATATTACCCAAAGCACCCAAATCTTTTTCCCATGTTGCTTTCAGAGCTTTGATAATATCATAGCCAGAAGTGTTTAAATGCATAAAATAAATCTGGGGTGAGGTTTGAGGTGAGTCAAAGATGGTGACCAGGAGATGTCTTAATTGAGGGAACCTCCAAAATTTATTATTGGACAGACTTAACTGCTCAATGAAGTTGCCAAAAGGCTAAGATAATCCTCCTTCGTATAAATTAATGTTTTTCTTTTGGAGTAAAAAAGCGCCTTGTCTCTTCAACGTTTTTATCAGTCTTAGATTATTAGCAATATTTTATAAGAATGCTTCTTCTTTATGTCTTCAAAAGTTGGACTCTGTTTACCACGCTTCATTAAGGTTCATCACAAACTGTAGAGCCATGACACATCACTGTGACCTGCACTCTCAGGTGGGATGACCTTCCCTCTCTACGAGAAGGCAGTGTCATTGGTACACTTTTATTTACAAGGCCCTCCTTGGATTACTGCCTTCTTATATTTGTACCTAACTTACACAGAAAAGCATGGCTTCTTATGCCATGAGATCAACGATCAGCTGTTGCTCACTGTTCCTTTTCCCTGCACAGAACTAGGGAAGAAAGCCTTTAGCTATGCAGCTCCTTCTGCGTGGAATTTTTTTCCAAGAAACTGGAAGTTTTTATCTTTAAATGCTTTTAAGTTGAAACTGAAAGAATTTGAAGCAGCCTCAATGATTTGTAATTGTTTTACTTGATACTTTTTTATGTACCTGTCATTTAATTTAACGTATCTCTGTTTTTTATGTAACTTTGCTGCTTCTTGGCCAGGACTCTCTTGAAAAAGAGGTTTTTAATCTCAATGTTTTTTGTGTTTTTTTCCCTGGTTAAATAAAGGTTAAAGAAAAATTAAAATAAAAAGACTCAGAGTAAGTATCCCTTTATTCACCGACTTTTTTTTCCAGAGTAGGGTTGTTCCAAATTCCAGAAGTCAGTGAAATATGAGTTTATCTTAAATAGACATTTTTCTCCAGAATTCCTGTATATGTGATATGATAGGATGAGATTGAGCATTTGATGGCATTCAGGCAGACAAGAGCAATGGGGTAACAACGTGTAAAATTACTATTCTATGAAGTACCATAGAGGAGCTTTTTCAGGGATATGTGTACAATGTGCCATGTTTCTTAAGCTAAAGGCAAAATAGTAAGCAGCATATTTAGAAGACCCTTACCACCTTTTTCTGTTGGTTTTTATAGTTTTTATTTTTCTATTTGCTTCCTTTGAAGTTTTTGCCGTTCCAAAATAATTTTTTACAAAGTGCTTCAAATTGTTTAAAGTATTTGGTGGGGATACCCAAGGGGAGGGATTGAAGAATGTATTTTTTTCTGGGCGCACAAACGACCTACTTTCTGATTTTTGCTCAAACATGAAATGAGAGTCATCAATGATTAGGGCATACATGACTTACTTAAATACTTCAAAATTCAAAAGCATACTACTGGCAAATGTGATTTCTGTGGAAAATATGAAACAATAGAACATGTTATACTGGAATGTCATAAATATGAAAGCGAGAGAAGATATATTAAGAGACACTTTGAATGTATTAAGGAAAAGATTAATTTAGTAGATATTTTGAGGAAGAATTTGGGGAGTAAACATATACAAATAATTATTCGATTTTTAAAGCAAAACTAAATTATTTCATAGAATTTTATTATAGAGAGGGTAAATGTGTTTATGATATAGATGGGTAGAATACAAAGTTATGTATAAGTATTTAGTTTTTTTTCTTCTCTTTTTTTCCCCCTTAAATTATATATATGTTTATTAAGTAGATAGTCCATCACGAACCACACTCCATACCAGCTAATGCTACTAAATGTTTGTTGCCAACCACCAATAAATCCAAGAGGAGGAGGAGGAAGAAGAAGAAGAACACTTTATTTACACAATTCAAAAATATAAACAATTGCCGTAAAACAAGTGTCAGTTAAACATCATTACTGAGGTAAAAACAAGTGTCAGTTAAAAAATTCTCCATCATCTGACACAGTACATAAAATGTTGTTAAAACCCCACAGCTGAATAAAATCCTTCATGTTCTGTGTGGCTCTGTGGAAGTGAAACTCCAGCCTTATTCTGGCTTTGATGTTGCACTTCCACAGAAACACGGCATCAAGTTGAAGTCCTTCCTGCAATCTGTCTCAAAGGGACAGGTAAATGGCCAGAAGAAGAAGAGAGTCATCAATGACGTGATACGCATTTTACGTAGCATGGGACGTTATTGTTCAGCGTGAGCGTATTCTGCTAAAGTGTTAGCAAGGTGCTTGCTAATAGTCCTAACAATTGAAAGAAATATTCAGTTTAGTCGTATAATAGAGCCGATTGGCTTTCAGGTGCACCTTGTTTTTTCCTGTAGTCTGCTATGAGCAAGAGGAAAGCACCACAGGAGTCCCTAAATGAGGGAATAACAGACTTTCTTGTTGGTACGTGACGATTAGTCCAGTCAGCAGTTAGTTAGCCTGACAGTGGCTATTTTTCTTTAGCGTACGAACTCCATTACAATAAAAATATATTAGTATATACTAATAAAAAATTTTCATACATATTATTTTCTGTTAAGTTTGAAGCATGTGGTTTTCTATTTGGTACACTTTCTGATACATGACGTGGTTTAAATGGCTGCTTCTGCTCTATGGTTTTAAAATTAAATGGTTCATGATTCTACGCCTTAAAGTTTCTTCTGCTTTCAGAGCTGGCCAACTACGAGAAAAATGTCAACAGAGCAATACACAAGTACAATGCATACAGGTGAGTTATTAAAAGGTGTGTTTTTTTTTTTTTTAAAGACTGAAATAATGCATTCATTTGTAGTACTAGGTTAGTGCTTTAGGGGCTGCTTTGGCCCCCAGTACAGCCAAATAAAACCTCTGCAAAAAAGACATATTTGGAAAAAAGCCAGATGGTATTCCAACCTACTGACCAAAAAGGAAATCTGAAAATATTTTATTTATGGGGTGTATGGAAGTATGTTTTTAATAACTTTCACTTAGACAAAAGAAAACAATTTTAGAAGGCATCAAGTGATCATAACTTGTATTTGTGCCTCATCTGTCTCTTATTTGTTTTCAAAGAGTTTAGAAATGGTTTGAAGTCATTCTGTTTGAATATGACTTTTTAAAAGTCTTTTACAAAATGAGCTGAAGGAGATTAAACCCTGAAGATACAAAAGAGTTCCCTCCAGCTGCCTTTTTGTATCTTCCAACTTAAAGGTGCTTACTTGCTGTATGTTGTACATTAATTTTGTCTTTGTGTCTTTAATGTGGATAGGAAAGCAGCATCCACCATTGCAAAGTATCCTAACAAGATTAAAAGTGGAGAAGAAGCCAAGAAACTGGTATGTGCTCAATTAATTTTCCAAATTGTTCCTTGTTGCTGTTGATAATAAAGTAAAAAGGAAATAATGTGTTACGTCATTGGACTATTGTATAGTGTGATATATTGTCATCAGGAGTTTGCTCATATCTGCCAAATACTCTTGCAAAAATAAAAGAAAAATTCAAGCTTGGGTATTTACCAAACATTAAAAAACGACATGAAGTTGATATATAGATTAAACTGAATATGCGCAGCACGAGCATTTATACACCCATCAAACATTTAAAAATGATCACCATGTGGAATGAACATATGAAAAATAGAATACAATCGAAAATCTTTTCATTGTCCCACAATGGGGAAATTGTGGTCACACCAATGTGGACAATAAAAAGTGTATAAAAATAACAGAATAAGTGACAGAGTTAAAAAAAGAATAAAGGTAAAGATGTTTCTTCAACACTGGTTGTAAACCTATAACCAACAACCAACAAAAACATGTTTGTGTCTGATGTTGATAGCCCTTCTCCTTTAGCTGAATGACATCCGTATAGCAGAAATACTTTGTAGTGGTAAACATGCTTGTGCTACTGAACAATTGGGTGTTGTTGTTTTTTTTAAATCCTCTAAGTGTTTTTTTTTTTCTAAACCTTTCTGTATATATTTGAATATACATATCAATATTCATACCCTGTTATGTTTGCTTTTACGCTTCAACAGGATGGAGTTGGTGCTAAAATAGCTGAAAAGATTGATGAGTTCTTGCAGACTGGCAAACTACGAAAACTGGAAAAGGTTGGTCTGGTTGTTTGGGGAATATGTCACTCCTTTTAACTTTAAATAAATGCCAAAGTTACTAATTAATACATCAGCATGCTTGCGTGGGTCATATAGGCTTGGTATTTGTAACATAACTCTACCAGCAGAGGCCCCTGCTCTCAGGGTACAATATATTTGTATGTTTTACTATTCAGCCCCAAGACTCACTGATACTTATTTTTTTCTAGATCCGAAATGATGACACCAGCTCCTCCATAAATTTCCTCACTAGAGTCACTGGAATTGGGTTAGTATGTTACCAAATATAGTGTTAAGTATGACTTTAATGCTGTATTTTATTATATAAATAAGCAAATCTCCATGGTCTTCAATTTTAGGCCTGCTGCTGCCAGAAAGTTTTTTGAAGAAGGGGTCAAGACATTGGATGGTTTGTATCACTCATACCAGATCTCATTATTCTCTTCAAACAGTTAAATTTCCATGAATAATGTTGAACCTATCCTAGAGATCTCTGTATGTTTAAAGGTTTGTTGCAGTGGACATTTAAATGTTTTTAAGATCATCTGAATTTCTTTTTTAGATTTGAAGAAGGTAGAGCACAAATTAAATCATCACCAAAAGATTGGACTCAAGTAAGTTAATCTGAATCATTAGGTTTGATATTTGCATCTTAAAACTTGAACTTGCCTTTTTTTTTTTTTTTTTAAGAGTGTACAGTGTTTATAATATTATGGTTTACTGTGCTGAATGTAGGTACTTTGAAGAATTTGAGAAAAGGATCCCAAGAGCTGAAATGGAAAAGATGGAGGTGTTTATGTTTTTCAGAATTTCTTATGTCTTTTTATAAATAATTTTATTTGTGCTGTTGTAAACCATAATCTTATGGTTGTTTTTGTTGTTGGTTAAGACTCTTATTCTGAAGGAATTGAAGAAAATTGATCCAGAATATATCGGAACAATTTGTGGAAGTTATAGAAGAGGTAATTCCCTCTAATTAATAACATTTGGTCTTTTGTTTCGAAGCAGTTTGTTGTTGCTTTTTTTTTAAATGTTTATAATTTCCAGGTGCTGCATCGAGTGGTGATATTGATATTTTGCTGACTCATCCGAATTACACTTCTCAAACAGAGAAGCAGGTAAGAACTGCACATAAATTGCTCCTTACTTGGTCTAAAGTAAAAACGTATATACACTATATTGCCAAAAGTATTTGCTCACCTGCCTTGACTCACATATGAGCTTAAGTGACATCCCGTTCCTAATCCATAGGGTTCAATATGACGTCGGTCCACCCTTTGCAGCTAGAACAGCTTCAACTCTTCTGGGAAGGCTGTCCACAAGGTTTAGGAGTGTGTTTATGGGAATTTTTGACCATTCTTCCAGAAGCGCATTTGTGAGGTCGCACACTGATGTTGGACGAGAAGGCCTGGCTCTCAGTCTCCGCTCTAATTCATCCCAAAGGTGTTCTATCGGGTTGAGGTCAGGACTCTGTGCAGGCCAGTCAAGTTCATCCACACCAGACTCTGTCATCATGTCTTTATGGACCTTGCTTTGTGCACTGGTGCACAGTCATGTTGGAAGAGGAAGGGGCCAGCTCCAAACTGTTCCCACAAAGTTGGGAGCATGGAATTGTCCAAAATGTCTTGGTATGCTGAAGCATTCAGAGTTCCTTTCACTGGAACTAAGGGGCCAAGCCCAGCTCCTGAAAAACAACCCCACACCATAATCCCCCCTCCACCAAACTTTACACTTGGCACAATGCAGTCAGACAAGTACCGTTCTCCTGGCAACCGCCAAACCCAGACCCGTCCATCAGATTGCCAGATGGAGAAGCGCGATTCGTCACTCCAGAGAACGCGTCTCCACTGCTCTAGAGTCCAGTGGCGGCGTGCTTTACACCACCGCATCCGACGCTTTGCATTGCACTTGGTGATGTATGGCTTGGATGCAGCTGCTCGACCATGGAAACCCATTCCATGAAGCTCTCTGCGCACTGTTCTTGAGCTAATCTGAAGGCCACATGAAGTTTGGAGGTCTGTAGTGATTGACTCTGCAGAAAGTTGGCGACCTCTTCGCACTATGCGCGTCAGCATCCGCTGACCCCGCTCCGTCAGTTTACGTGGCCTACCACTTCGTGGCTGAGTTGCTGTCGTTCCCAAACACTTCCATTTTCTTATAATACAGCTGACAGTTGACTGTGGAATATTTAGGAGCGAGGAAATTTCACGACTGGATTTGTTGCACAGGTGGCATCCTATCACAGTTCCACGCTGGAATTCACTGAGCTCCTGAGAGCGACCCATTCTTTCACAAATGTTTGTAAAAACAGTCTGCATGCCTAGGTGCTTGAATTTATACACCTGTGGCCATGGAAGTGATTGGAACACCTGATTCCAATAATTTGGATGGGTGAGCAAATACTTTTGGCAATATAGTGTATACATAAGTATGTAAGAACTCCACCTGTTCAGAAAAAATGTTCTCTGTTCGCAGCCTAAGCTTCTTCATGCTGTGGTCGATCATTTGGAGTCCATTGAGTTTGTGACCGACACTCTGTCCAAAGGAGACACCAAGTTCATGGTGAGGTCCCTGTTCTTTGTTTTTCTCTCCTATATGTAGTCAGCTGTATGGATCCCCATTCAATTCAAATCCAGTTCAAAACTACTTTATTGATCCCAAAGGTAAATTAAATTTGATGTTGAACTTTGTAACATAGTTATGCAATCCGTGATATGCAGCCATCCTATTTAGGGTTCGACTTGTCGAAATGTACTTCCTGTTTGTTTAGGGAGTCTGCCAGCTGCAGGGAAATGAAGATGATGATGAGGAAGAGGAAGAACATCTTCACAGGCGCATTGATATTAGGTAATATTTTTACCAACAAATATCATATCTGTTAAGCTTAAAACAACTTTTCTACAGCACAATTGCATTTCAGACTTTTAACAATGCATTCAGGTTGGACTGATGATGCATAAAATAATTTAAATTAATTTAGATATTGAGAACCAGTAAGAAATTGTGTGTTTTCTGTAATATACACTGAATCTGAATCCAAACAAGTTTCATCACACAATATACATACACCTTGCCCTACTTTAACAGGATGCAAAAAAAATCACATTTGTGGCTAATAACAATCCTCAGGCAATACATTTTAAATAGAAATGAGTTTAAAGGCATCTGGAGACCATTCAGGAAATATTTGGAAACTAGTTTTGATGTTTATTTGGAATATGGTTGTGCTATTGAAACACACAACTGTCTATGTTTTCATTTAGTTTACAAAGTTGCTGCTCCCTACTTGGATAAGCCCGTATGGTTTGTGGATTAAAAAAGAAAAAGTATGCTCAGAGGTGTGAGACATTGCCCTTTAGGGTAAGAATATCAGGCATTATGTTGGGATCGTCATGCCTAGGTTCTTTCATACCTTTCCTATCGCTGTGTTACTTACAGTGGATGGAAAGATTAACATAACTACCTTCCAAATTCTTCCACTTCACCTCAAATCCATAACTTGGATGAAACATAAACAGTTTATTGTTACGAAACAATAAGTATCCCCGAAAAAGATCCGAACTGCTTTTGAAATAAATAAAGCAGGCTTAGACTGTGGCAAATTATTTCAAATTATATTTGAACTGTGGTTATAAAACCTGTTACATGTCAGGAAAAACCAACAGATGTGAATGAATTTGTTTATTCTTGGATTTATGTTGACTGTATGTTTGCTTGTCATTGTTTATAACTACTTCACCAAAACAAATTCCTGGTATGAGTAAAAAACACTCCTTGGCAACAAAGCATTTCTTTATAGTAATTGTCTTACTATGATGATTATAACAATTAAAACATACAGTAATAAATCAGTGGAGGAACCTCTTACCTTTTAATTTACTTAACAGACCTTGTCTTTTATGACATTTATATATATTGCGGAACTTTTGCACTTGAACTTCCGTGTTGAATTAAATAAATCGTATTTTCATCATTTTAACCAAAATTGGCCTTTTTATGTTCCAAGGTTAATTCCTAAGGATCAGTACTACTGTGGAGTTCTGTATTTCACTGGAAGTGACATCTTTAATAAGAACATGAGGACTCATGCGCTGGAGAAGGGCTTCACTCTGAATGAGTATACCATCAGACCACTTGGTGTCACTGGTCAGTCTGACAACAGCACCTATATAGGCTTTCTGTTTCACTCCAGCCAAGAGCCATTTACTGATTTCTAATAATGTTTTCATTGCAGGTATTGCAGGAGAGCCTTTGTTGGTGGATAGTGAGAGAGACATCTTTGATTACATCCAGTACAGATACAGGGAACCCAAGGATCGCAGCGAGTGAAGAAAATCTAAAGTGGTTCTGCAAACATGAATTACAAAAAAAGGATCTTGTTTGTTTTTTTTTTACTCTTTTACCACTTTTACTATTCACTCATTACGCTGAAAAAGAGCAATAATGGAAAGATTTATTTCTTAGAGTTGGATCTTTTTCTTAACTTAAATTGAAGTGATCTTCACATCCTGGTCTTGGTATTTATTTATGCTTCACCGTCCTGTCCTATGGAAGTACTTCTGCTGTATTTTGGGGCTTTACTTCATATCAGCTATAGTTTTATGTCCCTCATTTTCAGACTGTTTATTGTAAACCTAAAAGGGGAGTTACATTTTTATATATAAAAAAAAACACTTCTAAGTGGATTGTCTTTGTTACATTTTTGTTTGATTCGTTTATATGCATGTTTTTGCATTTCATTATGGCCTTTTATAAGTGTTTTAGTTTGAAGTTCTTTAGATTAGGGACCTTGAAAATGTTACAGCATCATGCTCTGTAATTGATTATTGGACTAGGCTCTTGATTATAGATAGTTTCAAGAAGCCGCTGAGTGGGTCTATTTATATAAATTTGAATATGGTGAACTGTAGTTTATTCAATCTATTATAAGTGATTAAAAAACCTCAACACACATCATTTTGGATTATGGCAAAATGTGATATTTTTCCAGGAAATGGGCAGCAGATGGACATGAAATAATAAATTAGGGTTGCCTTTAGTTTGTGTTGGGATCTCTAAAAAATATGTTGAATGTTACTGATGAAGAAAATGGGATGTCTGAAGCATTGCTTATTGTCAGTCACTCATTTAGAATAGAATAATCCTTTGGGTGTTTGTTAAATAATAATGCTGGGTAATTGTTTGCGAAATAAACAATAAATCCAAACAGTTGTATTTTCCATTTACTACATTTTTTATCATGATGGTTCCACTTTGTGCTCTTGACCTCAAACCTCCAACATTGGTCTTAAGTATTAATATATTCTAGTGTTTGCTACCAGGTCCCCACAGAGCTGTATGGCATGAGGAAATTCAGCCATTTGTTTCAAGTGATTTGCAGATGTCTGTAACCTCCATCCTTTCTGTGGAAGTGATAGTATTTCTATGCTAAGCAGGAAATGTATACACTGCTAAGCTAAAGTAAAAAATGTGATTTGGGTATTTGGATGACTAAGATGACTACTATTTTTTTTCATAGTATTGTGTTCCATTGTAAACAAAGTAATCTCTGAAGATAAAATCTCCCACCACTGCTTTTTATTCCAATATAATAGAGATGCACGTAAAAGTCTAATTTATTCATCCAAGAATAATCCAATTATTTTGTAATCTCAATTTTATCCATGCATCCAGTTAAATCATCCATCCATTAATCAATTCTCATTCACCAATTTTTCAAACAGTTCTAAGTCTCTGTTCCCATTCATCCATCAATCTGTTTCATCCATGAATTTATTTACCTGTCAATCTATTATTTATCTGTCCATCTATCGATCTCATTTTAGCTGAACTTTCTGCCATTCTGTAAGGTTTCATTGATTCTTAAGTAATTTTCTGAGATTATTTAAAGCCTGAGATAAAAGAATGGAAAGTACTGAAATTTAACCTGTAAAAATTACATTGAACCCTAAAATGAAAAATTTCAATGTAATTCTAAATTGGTGTATTTTATTTACAGACCATGCGGAACTGAAAAGTAATAGCTTTTTTTTTTTCTCAAAATATCCCGTTTTGAATCTATGTAATTATATCAATCTATGTAATTACACATTTTTACATAACCAAAATTACAATTGGGGTAAAACTGGATCTACAGTACGTAACTGTATTGGAATAACAATTTAGCAATTAGCCTCAGCTGCATCTTAACACACAATTATTTACACAAGTCTCCCTGGTAACGGTTGTTTCGCAGTGCATGACGGGTTGAAATAAAATGCTACGAGAAACTCCACAAGTATTATGTTAAATAGACCAATGAAGGCGCTTTGAGCGTTAACGGTAACCAATCGGAGGAGCTCAAGCTAGCAGAATGCAACTGCCACACACCCACATCACTTTTGTGTCAACCACTTCGCGGGAGTTGTCGCTCCAGGAGCAATCTGACACCATACAATCAACCATTTAGCACCATTCATCGCTTGATACGTTCCAACTAAAGGTAGGCTGACTATTAATGCACATACATTTATGTAAGTCACTTTTTTATATATATATGTGAAATTTTTGTTCCATGTGATCGCAGTTATATATATTTGTCGTATTAAGCACTATCGTGCTTTTAGCTAATTAATGACATCATTGATTGCTAGAGTCTAGCGCATAGATTTTTAGATGAAAAACATGTTTCCCTTAAACATATAAAAAAGATTTTAAAATGTATGTGCCGTCCACATTATAAATAAATAGAGGGGAGTTTTCAGCGGTTGCTATTTTATTTTTATAGGATCGCTGTAGTTATTGTCTTAGTGTTTTTTTTTTTTTATCAGATTCTATGTAAAAAAAAAAAAAAATGCAAACGGTAATTTTAAATGTCCGAGTATCCATAGAAACTACGCAGAGCGCACGTTCAGCTCCCTGCCATTTGATGGAAGTTATGCAACACTTGTAGAAATGGCTCGATCAAACATTATGTAATAATGTCGTCCCAGAATAGACCTTTTTTTCCATTTCTTATAATCTCTTTGCATTTCCTACTTAAATTTGTTGGATGCTGCTGCTGATCAGTGTTGGTACTTCAGGCGCAATACTCGGTCACATTAAACGTGTGTGAGTCAATGCCCTCACGAGGATGATAAATGATACGCTGTGTTTTGGTTACTCAGGGCAACGCCATGTCTGACAGAAAGTCAGTGATAAAGAACGCCGACATGTCGGAGGACATGCAGCAGGACGCCGTGGAGTGTGCCACACAGGCCCTGGAAAAGTATAACATCGAGAAAGACATTGCAGCTTTCATTAAAAAGGTAAAACACCAATGAAGCATCTTATCTAAAAACAAATCTACATACAATTTCTAAAAAACATCTAAGTATTCTAGTAGGAATTTTATGTTGTGTATATTTTTGTGCCTAGGGCTGAGGATGAGGTTGGGTTAGAGACTGTTTTAGTGCCGAAACCATATTATCTATTTTGAAAACATGCAATTGCAGTAGGGTGATGCATACACACGTTTTTCATTTTGTAGTCAAAAATAATCATAATAATACATTCTTAATCACACAGTTGCATTGTAAATTTGGCACGCTTTAGTTATCCACTTGTATATTCCCCAGATTTAAAGCACTGCAAAGTCATAAACTCTCTCCTTTAAAGATGCTGTTTGCAAAATATCTTAAATTGGAAAAACACCCCATGTTACTTCTGCAGATTTCCATAACTGTTCCCACTAAGCCAATATGATATAAAGTAGAGGATTTTTAAACCGTCCAGGGCTTCATTGTTGACCATCCAGTTTGATATAGGTTTCCCTTGAGGCGGCGTGTCCTTTAACACTGGCATCCTTGAATATTTCTTAAGTTGAATTTTCATCATGGTATTTCCTGTAGAGAGACAGTTTTTAAACAACTGTTGAGAACTTTGAAAAATTGCAGTCAGCTTAGTCATGTCACTTGAAAACTTTGCTTAAGAAAATGTAGAAGGGAAATATCAAAGCTTTTTTTTTTTTTTTTTATTATTATTATACTAACCGGCCCTCCAGGGTTCCTCCATGTTTTTTATATATATATATATATATATATATAAATCTTAGACACATTGAGCCACCACAAAGAGTCCTAAATAATAATATATGACCAATCTGTAACTGGAAAATAAACTCTTCAATTTTTACTTGTTTCTCATAAATGGCAATTTAGCTTTTAATCTTGTTCCTCCTTTCCTTTTTTTTTTTTTTTTTTAAATTAATGGTCAGTTTAGAAGTCGTCTTTTCTAATATACGTATTTACCAAAACAAAACTGATATGTTTTTTGTTGTTTTTTGAAGCCCTGTAAAATTAACTCCGTTCTCTTAAGTATTGGGCAATTGTTCAGCACCGTATTATTATCCTGCATTAATTTAACAAAGCTTTTTATTCTCCATCTTTGATTTATTCTTAATTTATTCTCCACCTTTGTTGCACTACCGAATTTTAATGTTTGGAGAAAGATTTAATGTAAGTAAACAGTGTCAAACAATAGAATAGGTTGGGTGTTTTACTCTAATTGTTCCACGTGTAGGAGTGCGGGTATCGGGCATATTTCCTATAATTGTATCAACCTACAGTTAAATATTTAATGATGTGGCCTCTACATAGCTGTCAATTCATTTTGTAACAACTACTGAATTATTTAAGTCAAAAACCCTATTTCATGTATATTGATCAGAATATCTTTTATTCCCCACAGGAGTTTGACAAGAAATATAACCCTACGTGGCACTGCATCGTTGGGAGAAATTTTGGGAGTTACGTTACTCATGAGACCAAGCATTTCATTTACTTCTACCTGGGTCAGGTAGCCATCTTGCTGTTTAAGTCCGGCTGAGGGATGTCTGCATTTCCCCAAACCCCAACTGACCACACAATACTGACGGAGCTCACAAAAGGCACTTATCATTCCTTGGCGAAGGGCCGCTGCCTTTTTCTGTGCTGCATTCTGCTTTGTTGTTTTTGACTATAAGAATGGCCATGTTTAAGAGATGAAACACTTGTATTTATTTTTGTCTTGTTACTTTGGACATGTCAGTTTTTTAATTAAAGTTTAAATGTCAAGTGTTCTGTGTTCAATGATTTGTTTATTTCACTGTTTTGGATAAAGCATCCACTCATTTTCCATGCACTTAAGCAATTTTACCTGTCCCACCATGGCAACCAGGAAAAGGAAGGCATTGTTAAAACATTCCTTGTTACTAGTTGGAGTTGGTTGAACAAATTATTACAGGGATAGCTTAGCTGAAGAATTCTTACCAAATTAATGTATGCATCATCTACTGGAGGTTTCTTCCCGTTAAAAGACTGGATGCAATCAACTGTTTTTAAGAAACCACCCTACTGTCGTCTCTGTAAAGCGCTGCAAGATGACATGTGAATTGGAGCTATATAAACAGAATTGAAAAGGCTAATGTTTAGAAAATGGAAGTTGATAAAAGACTCACTGATTAATAAACAGGCGAAGGACATGACCCCATAAAGGAAGAATGAATCTATTCTTCTAAAGCTGGTATCCCTCTTTTGCGCAATTTCAACTATAGGAGTGCTAAAGAAGTTTATTCTAGAAATGCTCATTGAATCAGTGGTTTGAGTTTTAAAGTACAATGTCTATTTGACTTCTGAAGTGTAATCACTACAAAATTAAGTTGTTTTGGCTGTTTGACAAGACACCATGTATCTGGCTAATTAAGTTTTGCATACCTCATAATGAACGTCATGTTAACTAGGGTGGAGGCTGACTAGCGTGGGGAATCTTTTCTTACAGAGTTGTAAAATATTAACTGAACAAATTTCCAGGATTTGTACTTAATCAGTGTATAAGAAGCACATTTTATATAGTTTATCTTTTAATAAATCAATGTGAAAGTGAGCACTAGATTAATGCAAGGAGTGATTTTTATTAGTAAAAACCCAGCACTAATCCTCAATCTAGCGCTAACATATTGTCTGGGTTCTTTTCAAGCTTGGTTTGTTATAACTACCTACAGCTGGTAGTTGGATGGGAAAAATATTTTCAAAATATCGGGTTTAAAAAAGGGAAATAGGACTTTTAAATGGAGACGGTTGATGTTGGGTAGAGCCATAATTGGGGTTTGCCAGTGGATTGTTTTTTCTGCCATTGTTTAATTTGGCACATTAATGTGTCTATTTGACATTAAGGACTGGTTTGATTGAGGTGTGCCTTTATTAAAATGAGAACATTCAAATATTGTATTTCTCTTATTTGGCCTAGAAACATTTTCTGTCCATATCCCCGAGCTCTAGTTAGCCGAAATGTTGGTTCTGTTGCGTCATCTTAATGAAAACAGAAATAGCTGGCATCTAAGGATCCACTCACATCTGGAAGACAGCACGGATCAAACACAGGAAAACTTAAAACAGGAAAGCTTCAGAAACTAAAAATGTATCTAAAGAGCTCTTTGAATTGAACAAGTTATTACCTTAGCCTAGATAGACCCTTAAGATATACAATCCAGAGGAACCCTCGGGTCCTAGTCGTCTTCAAAAGCTGTAATCCAAACAGTATAGTCCTCCCAAGACTTCCAGCTATCCTGTTGTGCTGTGCGCCTTCTGCTACTTTTTCCTTCCACCAATATGCTGAGCCAGTTCATCTGAAGTAGCAACTCTTTATGGTCCATGATGGGGCTGTCAGTCTTGCAACAATGTTTCACCATACAACATTTAATGCAATTTTATTGGGTAATCTTTTTCCTTTATAGTTTAGAATTTTAGAAGTATTTAAGTTTCTGGGCTACTTTAGAAATTTTCTTTTAAGTCAGATTTTCAGATACACCATGTCCATCTGAAGTCCCATTTAGAATAAAGAAATTGGCTTTTTTCCCCCAATGTCATTGAAATTAAGTTTAAGGCCCAATCCTGGACACTAAGAATTAATCCTCCATTTGCGCCTTCCTATGGAGGCCACACATCCAAACCACAGCTTGTGCCAGTTGCAGGCCACTATAGGCCATGACAGGCCTGTACCATTTCAAGTCAAAGGAATTGACTAAAGGGTTTTATGCTACAGTCATTTATGCACACATTGAAGATGGCAAGCTTCATGGTAGCCAAAGCTGCTCTGGGGCTCACTGACAGAAGCGGGACTGCCGTATTCCCTCTGACAACCATTAGTAGGCAATGCATGTGAAGTGTCGTGCCCAAGGACTAAACAATGAAAGTCACGACTTTCAACCCTCAGGTTGAAAGGCAAACATTGATGCCACTGTCGCCTTGAAGTATAATTACAAAAGCTATGGAAGTATTTTATTAAGGTGGAAACGTGACTTGATGTTTAACAAAAGCCCTTCAAAGCAGAAAATGAGTTGAAGGTGGTACAGCTGTGTGATAGAGGTTGCATATGGAACAGAAGATAAAGAGTCAATAGATGTTGTAAGACGGTGGTAACTCTTTATTGACATTTAGAAAACCAGCTTGTGTGGGTAAACACCATTAGACAGGGCAAAGGCGGAGCGCAGGTATCCTTTGAGCTGAGGCTCCTTCTTAATGAGGGGAAGGATCTGAGCATCGACTGCCTTCTGGTCCTCCTTCCTCTGCTCTGTCAGCTGGTACTTCTGCAGATTAGAGATGATAACAGATTAGTCAATAAGAAAACAACCGAACTGTAGAAGCATAATGAGACCTTCAGTGAATTACCTCTTTTTCTGTGTCAAAGATCTCTCCCTCCTGGTGACGGGGCCTCCTTAGCTTCTTCTTCTTGAAGTAAGTGTCATTGAGGGTTTTGGGGAGCTTCACACCAGAGATGTCGATTTTGGTGGTGGTGGCGATGACAAATTTCTGGTGAGCCCTTCTCAGAGGGACTCTGTTCAAGGCTAGAGGGCCTATCAACGGGAAACAAAAGTTAGATCAAGCTTTTCTGAGCTGAATAACCTCTTCTAAAATATGCAACCTTACCGGTGACAAGCAGAAGACCACTTGAGAGCTGCTTCAGGAACACCACGCGCTGAAAAACAATTGTAACAGTATTTAATATCTTCTGCACTCAAGGTATGATGCATCAAAACACTCCACCACATGCTACAAATATTCCCCCCAGGACCTCCAATCTGTTTTTTTGAAGCAGTAAACAAAAATCTACCATGTCAGCTGCATTGTAACAAATCTATAATATTTTTTCTCAGCCTGCTGAATAAATTCAAAACATTTTTAGGCTGCCTTCTCAAAGTGTGTGTGGGTAAGCTTGCTTCCATATCCTTGCCACAACAGGTGAGTGGGAGAGAAATCTTTACTGTTGCACTGAAGGTGTGAGATTAAAGCTGAATCTATTGACTGAGCCCCCAAAATGTTAAAGTAAAGCAGATTTACCAGGTTATTTTATAACCTTTTACCATAAGGAATCACTGAGCTCAAACCCTAATACTTATCTGCACAATAAAACCATCAAATGTTTATTAAAACAAGAATTAACAGGATTTAAACAGCTAAGTTGATGTTTATAGACTTAATGTTTATAGACTTTTTTCCCCCATCTGCTATCGGCCTTATCAAAAAGGCCAAGACCCGCCCGTGACAATGGACAATGTTTCTCTCCCCCATTCAGGATTTCTGCGTTACATTAACGCACAGTCTACTGTTTGTATATATATATATATATATATATATATATATATATATATATTTTATCTTATTTTGCTTTGTTTTTTGTCTGCACCAACAACACCAAGTCAAATTCCTTGTAAGTGCAAACCTACTTGGCAATAAACTTGATTCTGATTAACTTAAACTTTCTTCCCAATCTTAGAAAACTTATTTTCTTACAAATGGGATGAAGGTGTTCTCTATGGCTGTTTACAATTAGATAACCTAGCAATCATAACAATAAAAAAGGTTATATTTAATCCAGTTACCCTTCAAACCCAAAATGAAACGGTTTTTACAAATAAAGAGATTTTCCGTTCAGTTAAAATGAGAAAAACCACCAACTAATTGGACTATCTGCCCTTATTTTTTAAATTCCAACTTTTAGTAAACACCATAATTTTTTTTTGTCAAGCATTCACCTTTCCACGGTGGCGACCAGTAAGCAGGATGAGGACCGTTCCAGGTGTGATGGAGGCCCGCAGCTTCCTCTTGTGCTGGCTGAAGGGCTTCTTCCCATGGCTCTTCAGTTTGCGAGGTACATCCTCTGTAGGATAGTAGCGGGGCTACAGAAACAGGAGGTATTCATTTGTCTGGTTAAGGTGCTTTAAAACATTTCTAATACCAAAATGCAAACAATGCAATACTGATTTACTAAGGTTTGTAACAGAAGGGCTTAACTCCTTCAGGTTGGGTCAGGTCTGCACCTAGTATATTAGTAATCCCCATTTTAAACCCACACACTCTTATTGGTCCCAACCTCCAATTGGAAGCAAAATTTTCCTTTATAAAATTATACAAGGTTATTAAAAATCGATCGAGTTCTCTGTTAAGTAAAATCAGTATGTTAATTCCTAAAAACACTGAAATACATTTATTTTTAGAACATATCTTGTTACGGATCACATTTATTATGGCAAACATTAGCATGGTAGTTTTTTAAGTAGTAACTGTATCAAAACAACTAAAAGAAAAACCTTTTTTAGAGTTTAATAAATCAGAAGCTAGATTTAGTGCAAGAGAGCTTTCATCATCCTTGGACCTGGAATTGAATTAAAATTCAATTCATCCATTCTCAATGGTGCCTTTGCATCCATAACCATGTCAAAAGACACCATGTTAGACTGAACAGTGCATATTTACCACTGACACAAGAACACCTGAATGACTTAACAGTCAAAGCAGAAGATTTAACTACTATTGGTGCAAGTGGCATCCTTCTTGCACATTTAGTGATGAGTTTGGTGGCTGCCTAAAAGAACTGACATTTGTCCCAACAAGAAAATATAATTTTGTAGTTTTATAATATTACCAATAAGAGGTTGAAACTAAAGGAGTATTTCCCACAAGCACAATAGCTACTAGCAAATAGTATCAAGCTACTAATAACCAGCTGGTCACAGGTTGTATTCTGATAAAGCCAAATACTAGCTAATAGCTTAGAAAACATGCAATCATGAAAAGAACTAATCCAGTCAAACATAATAGGAAGGATTTAAACTGGATTCAATTTCAAATATGTTCATACTCTAATGTGCCATGAGTTGATACTAGGCCCTTCCTAAGGTTTAGAGGCAGACAAAATAAATGTTTGGCTGATATATGCGTTTTTTCCGTTGCATAAGTTGGACCAACACCCAAATGCATTCTTCGAAGTATTAATGTATTTACCAGCCATGGCTTGAGATCACATATGGTGCACTCATCTCCAAATAATACCTTCTCTATATGCACTGTATTTAAAATTTTAATATTTGTGATGGGTTAGACAGGTGTCAAAATGATTAGTGTTGACCTTACAAATATATACATTAAAAAAAAATCATTTTGACCATATATCCATCCCATGCAGCTGAAAAAAAAAAGTTTTATTCTATAACTCACCATCTTGCGCAGCTTAACAACACGGGTGCCTCCATTCTTGTCTCCTCCAACAGTCTTAACAACTGTGGCCTTGGGTTTTGTTTTGATCTTTTTCTCAATCTAAAATAAGAACACATCAGGATTAAGAAATCGAATTAAATCAAATGAGCTGCATTCAGAACATTTTAACATTAACATGGGCTGTGGTGCACCTGGCCTCACCTTGGTCTCGGTGGTCTTAGTCTTCCTCTTGTACATTGCCCGGCGGGCGTACATAGCAGAACGGGAGTAACGGCCGATCCCCCGGGCCAGAGCCGGGTTCCGGCTCCCGTGCTTCTTCTTGGCAGACTTCTTCTTGTCTCCCTCTGCCATCTGACGTAAGCAAAAAAAAAAAAAAAGGATTTATTCAAATCAATTTATGAAAGTGATCTGACTGGTACATCCTAAAGTAAATTCAACAGGACAGTCAATGCATTAGCAAGAGAGTTTATGCATTTATGGAGCCATGAGGCTAGTATATTTTCCTACTGCTTTCAAATTTGAATACAATTCCTAGTTATATATGGCACACCATTATAACTCAAAATTAAACTCCCTCCAAACAAAGATACAGGAAAAAACCCTTAAAGATACAGATTTGTTTATTAACGGAGGCGACAATGCAAACAGCAGCATGACATGTAGCATGACTACAGGTTAGCAATACGTCTGCCTCATACGCTATTTCTATGTGGATTTGTCTTATGAATAAAGACAAACCCAAATAACAACTCACTAGATATGAAATTTAAAAGGTAAAGGAGGGATACATGTTTATTACAATAACGTCGCTTACGTTTAAGACTAGATTCAGGCTAGCCGGCGGCCTAGCAGGGTCGGTATATAAAACGTTCCTATTTACGGAACCCTAATTCATAAATCAAGGAAATAATGGTCCGGGTCAAACCATATTAGTACAGAGTTTCGATGCATGTTATTACGAAGTTATAGTTTTTATTCTTTAAGACCGATGACAACAGATTTTTGTCTAACAGTAACACGAAGGCTAGGGTGTCTTACCTTAGCTATGAAAAAAAGATCGACATCCGGGGATGTGACGTTTATAAGGACGCTGCGTGATTACGTCAACGTCGTTCTTCACAGACGTGATGGTCCTTGTAGTCCTTAGAGAAAATAAGGTTTGTATACCAAATGCAATTCAATGTATATATATTTTTACACATTACATTTATGGACATAATGCTTACAATAAACTTTAACTAAACTCCTGTTTTCAGAGTGAAAACGCCAAAGACTAGCTTTTTTTTAAATCAAATCTAGCTCTAATAAATATTACTATCTCTGTCATCCCTCCAAAATTAAAAGTTGCAGTAAGAAAAGGTTTTTATCTAGCACATTAGTGCTGTACATAAGAAAAGAAGCACAAAAGGAAATGTACATTGCAATTCCATGAAAGAAGTTAAATGATTAATTAAAACTGATAACCAAGAAGATTGAAAATTAATAATTTAGATTATAAGCTCTTAGTCATTAGTTTTGAGATAGCTGAAAACAAAATTAAATGCAAGTTGGTCTACCGGTATAACTAATATTGTTTAGATAGCACTGTCAAAGCAAAGAGGTTTTTAATCTCACTTAACTTCACTTTTGCAGTTTTCTTGGAATTAGTTCCAGATTAGTAATTTGTTACCAGATTTGAAAAGCATTTTCTAATTGTGCATTTTAAATTGAATTATTAGAGGAATTTTATTAATTCATCCGTTATTAAATACTGGAATCTGAAAATGTATTTTCAACTCCTATATCTAAATTGAAAAACCTGATTCCTACATCTGATTATACATACCTTTCCTAATCACACTTTAAAAAAAAGTAATTCCTTATTCCATTCCCTTTTCCTTTTTGTAAATTGCATTTTTTTTTTTTTTTGCCTTACCATTGACCTTCTCTGTGACCCTTCTGGTCCCAGAGCACACTGGAAACCACTTCTGTCATTGGTTAGACTGCCACACTTGGTCTTCAAAATGACATATTAGGGAGCTGGTTACATCTGAGGAGCAACTGTGATTGATTTAACTGGTTTTCAGTATGTCAGGGACCAGAGCAGTCATGGAAATGGTCCAATACCAGAATAGTGGTTTTTCAACAGTCTGCATTAAGTCATTGAAGACCTTGAAAAAAGCAGTCTCTGTACTGTGGTGAGCAAAGAATCCAGACTGGAAGACATTAAAGCAGATGGTCACTGACAAAATGTTATCATATAGGTTCATGTGTAGGGTAGGTGGTTATTACTTTTTTTTCAACTTGGCTCCCAGTTCTTTTAAATTTCTTCCTCAAAATTACAAATGTAACGGATGATTTTCAGTGCCACTCTTAAATTTTTTTTTTTTTTTTTTTCATTTCTTAATAAGTCATTAGAGCCAGGTATGCTGGGTCCTCTTCTTGTTGACTCACAAACGCCATAAGCGTTAAAGAGAGAATTGTAGGGCTTCAGGTCTTGTTTTTAGTTATTTAGACTTTCGCGGATATGTTGTTTGTAATCAGGAAACAAGATATAGATGTAGGACACACATTCCCTGTTACTCAGAGGATCTGACACTGTTCACATTAAAGTCATTAAAGACATTTTTTTCCCCTCTTTCTCAAACATGTTAAAAACACCTCCGTCTGAAAGATTTGACTGTATTGTCTCCATAAAGGGCCTTAAGATGACATGTGTTGTGAATTGATGCTATATAAATAAACTGAATTAAAACTGAATTGAATGAATACTTTTTTTAGATCCTTTGACAAAGAAGTATAAACATTTATTTTTTAAATAAAGTTCATTCCTCTGTTAGAACACCAAACCATGAGATGAAAGTGATGAAGAGCAATTGAAGGCAAATCCTTTATTGTATTACCAAACTACATGTTAACAAGCTAAACATATACTTTAGGCACATAAAGGCTCCCAAACCTCTGTGCATTGAGCACAGATGTGTAGTCACAGTCATTTATTTATTTAATTCTCGCTTAAAAGGCATTAGGCTTAAAAATGTTGCAGAAATCAACTTGTGGAGAATCAGATAAATGTTGCATTAGTTATGCATATTTGTCCTGAACTAGGAGGCTATTTATTATTAAACATCTGAGAACATTTTCTCTGAGTATGTATTTTATATCATGATGGTGAACAGTCTTTGTGTTTGGATTCGATTTCACAGGAATTCCTCCTCTTCCTCCTTTAGCACTTTTCCAGGATGATGGCAATGCCCTGACCTCCACCGATACAAGCAGAGCCCACAGCATACTTTCCTCCTCTTCGCCTGTTTGAAACAATTGTTGTCATGAAAAGAGAATCTTAGGGCGTAGACGTTTAGTTAATTAATAGTGTACCTGAGTTCGTGCACCAGGTGAGTGGTGATGCGCGCTCCAGAGGCACCGAGAGGATGTCCGATGGCAATAGCTCCGCCGTTGACGTTTGATTTTTCTGGATCCAGTCCAAGAGCCTTGGCCACAGACAAATACTGAGGAGCAAAAGCTTCATTCACCTGTGGAGAGAGACAGACACAGACACATTGCCAAAAGCTAATGTACTAGACATGAAAGGCAGTATTAATCCTCATATCAGATCTTAAATCAGATTGATATCTGATCCATGCATGTTCAGAAACAGTTATTCAGTTTGGGTAAAAAATATACTCAAATATGGATAAGTAAATTCACACTTTAACTGGAAAAACTTTTTATCATTATCCCTATTATTAATACTTATTATAACCCTTTTTTGAACCAGGATTTAACCTCTATGATATTCCACGCCACAACACAGGAGGGATAAACACGAACTAGCTGTTGGTCTAGATACGGCCGAGGTGGTGAGGAACTGGGAGCAAGTTTGTGCGACAACGGAGGGACATGAGGAACATGTCTGGAAACTGTCTGCGCTTCTAAGTCTATCAGTTAACTGCGACACACAAGCAGACGACCTGGTTTCTGAGCATAAAACAGCCTTTAGTCTTCTCTAATAAAGGTTCACATGTCTGAAGCATGCTTTAAGATGAATCTTTGACCTTTTCTATTCCTAAACAGCCTCTGTCCTATTCTCTTCTCTTCAGGTTTTCTCCAGGATTTAGATCTGAACATGGGCTGCCATTAAAGCAACTTGATTTTCTATCTGCTGAAGGAAATGTTTTGCCCCCAATGACAACTTATGTTTAGCTTTCTGTTAGAGGCCCACAGATTTTTACAAATATGGCTCAGTATTTCAGAGTTCATGATGCCATTCACTCTAATAAGTTTCCCATGGGCTTTAAAAGAGAGATTAAGGGAAAAATTTGGTCCAATGGGGTTGTTTTTAGATGCTGTATTATTATTAATCCTTACATCCTAAATTCACAGAGCAATCATTGTGTGTATAAACATACAGGAAAGTGAAAAATCTAATTTTTCTTTGTAACAAACCTCAACCAGATCCATGTCTTTAAGAGAAAGGCCAGCCTTTTTAAGAGCTTCTGTAATGGCTGGAACAGGGCCTTATGTGAAAAAAAAGAAAAAAAAAATTAAACAAACTGTTAAACATTTTGAAGTTTGTTTACTCATTTCATTTATTTCAACTAAATTAAACTGTATCTCTGTTGTAACTAACCGATTCCCATTATGCTCGGGTCACAGCCTGACACGTGATAGGAAACAATTCTGGCCAGTGGGGTGAGCTTATGTTCCTTCAGGGCTTCTTCACTGCTGATCACCAGGGCAGCAGCACCATCAGAGACACCCTGGAGATAAAGAAGAGACTCAGATTAAAAGGATATTAAGATAATTCTCATCATTAAAGTTTAAATGTGGCATATTTACTGGGACAGAAAAACAGTAAAAAGACTTAATGCAACATTAATGCAAACTTCTGCAAAGGGATAATTGTACTTCTTTATTCATTTTTCTTATGTGGTAGTGTGTGGTCAGTTGCGAAATGAATAATTCAATGTTTGTTGCTTAAAAAATCAAACAGTGATTTTTGAAGTTTACATAATTTCCCTTTTCAAATAAGGTAAAGTCCCATTTTTTTTCCAAGTCAGTGATGAAGAAAAAACAGAAAAAGAAGAAAGAAGAGTGAGCAGAAAGCACGCAGCTCACCGAAGCGTTGGCAGCGGTGACGGTTCCTCCCTTCTTGAAGACAGTGGGCAGCTTGGCCATTTGTTCCAGTGTGGTCTGAGGTCGAGGGTGTTCATCATGAGACATTGATGCTTTGCCTTTCTTTGCTTTCACCTCAACTGGAGCAATTTCAGCTGTGAAGTGACCCCCTTCATGAGCTGTAAGAAAGAAAAGATGCAGTGCATTTTTTCTATCTTCAACAACACAGAAACAGAGGAGCTAAATCAAATAATCGGTATAAAAGGATGATATAAACATAATATCTGTCGGCTCACCTGCCTTCCATCTCTGTTGGGTCTGGTATGCATAATTGTCGCAGTCCTCTCGTGTTATCTGATATTTCTCTGCTAGGTTTTCTGCAGTGATCCCCATCGGGGTCTTGATATGAAGGTCGGTGAGACCCGCCCACAAAGTGTCCTCCAGCTGTCAGACATATGACGACAAGTTTAACCTCTGAAAACAACCTGCTTTTTTAACATCAAAGGGCGTGTGTTTTTATGATGGAGGAAAAGTTTTTTTCATGTAATCCCTGGAAAGGATGTTTAAAAAAGCTTCAAAATAAATTTAAATATTTTAGCAGGGCAAAACCTAGCATTTAGAATTTCAGAAGAAAATCTAACCTTTATGTTGATTCATTCAGCGGATGAAAAGGAAACATTTTAAAAATTGAAATCAACAAAGGGAGAGTATTAAAAACATCCAACGGTCCCCACAAAATAAATGCAACTAAAGATATTCTGTAGATATTTTAAAAATATTTTTTTTCCATGAGGTATGATGGCTTGAAGGCACAAACTGAACTGTTCATAATGTATTCTTTATGCTACGCCAGCATTAATAACATGTAGGCGAATCACTGTCCCCCAGACATCTGTGGTTATATTTTTTATATGTATATCTTTTAAAAACAAAGCACCACTTCGTTATGAATGCTGCCGTACCATAAAGAATACATTACGAACAGTTTAGTTTGTGCCTTCAACTCGTTGCCCATAGGAAGCCGTTACTTGGATATAACCTAATCGAATATCTTCACCACAGCTCCAAATGACACAAAACTCATATGGGTGAGTAGAACATGATATAATAACGTAAAATCAAGGGACCAATGTAAAAAAACGGCGTCTCCCTTTAAGTCACAGAACCAAACAGCATGAAAACTTGCGAATCAGCTAAACAGACAAGAGCCTCAAACTACTCAGGAGGCTCTAAAAACATTATGCAGAGAGGGGCTAGAATATCTGTATGTTTAAACCTTGTAAAATATAGATAAATGTGCTGTCAGACTGACAAAGATCAACTGTGCAGAGAATGGCTGGTAGCACCAATGAATTTGGCACTGGTGGTTTGGGATGTTGTTCACCCTGGTTTTTTTCTCGCTTTTTTCTTGCTTTTTGTGTTTCAATTATGATTAAAGAACATGCCTTGTTGTGCATGTAGAACGGCTGGGAATGTACCTTAAGGTCGAGTCCAAACTTTGTTCCAAAGCGGATGTTACGGACAGCGTAAGGAGCCTGGCTCATACTCTCTGAGCCTCCACACAGAACCACCTCTGCCTCTTTCAGACAAATCTCCTACAAACACATAAAATGACCACAATCTTATCTTATGCTCTCCAAGTAGAGGCATGACAAACTTTGGAGTTAGATATATTTGAAATTAAAAAGAATAGAATTCAACTTAATTGTTATTACATTGTTACAAGTACAAAGCAACACATTCTGCATTAACGCATCCCTTTGGGGAACAGTGGGCTGCCATTACGTGGCGCCCGGGCAGCGCTGCTGCCACTCCCCTATTGTATTCCACTAAGAGTAAAGAATGTCTATGGAGATTAAGACTAAGCATTTCAAATATAAATGCATTCTCAAAGGCTATGAATTAATTTATTTAAACTTTTTTCGTCAACATAAAATGTAGAAAATACTATCAAATGTGACTAAAAGCAGAAAACAACTGTGTTGTTTTGCTAGATTAGATTAAGGGGAAACAGAACAGACAAAAAGAGTGTAAAAAGCAAGAATGTTTTCTTTAGATGTTTGTAACGATGCCTACATGAGCGCCGTTTATGATGGACTGGAAACCAGATCCACACAACCTGTTCACAGTAAGGGCAGGAACTGGAATGGGAACGCCACACCTCAGACCAACATGACGAGCAATATATGGAGCATCAGCTGAACTCTGAGGAAGCACACACAGGTATAGTTAGGGAAAACCATAAAGAACAGAAAACCTCCATGAATACCAGCCAGCGTACCTGCATGACATTTCCCATAATGATGCTATTTATAAGCTCTGGTGCCACAGAGCCGGCAACAAGGGCAGCTTTGGCTGCATGCTCAGCCAGGTCTGTGGCGCTATGATCCTTCAGGACTCCACCATACGTACCAAATGGAGTACGCTTGGCTGCTACAATAAAAACACCTGCAGAAAAAGAAAATCACTTTATTTAAGATATTAAAGTAACTTCTTGTTCTATAATCTACGTATATGTATTTGTTGTTTTTGACAAACTAACTCCTTGATGTTAATAAAAAAAAAATAAGATATGAACAGAAATGTATACACATTTAAAAACCGACATTACAGCTGAAATAATAAAAAATAAATCAGTTAAATTCTTTAGAACTTTGTGTGTTTAAGTTATGCCATGTTGAGTCGAACATAAAGATCTGTTTTCCAATTATATGGCTTTCAGCTAACACTTCTCATAGAATGTTTGTTTTTAGAAATGTTTCTTTATAAATATAAAAAATTATTTAAGCTTTTAGTAAGTTTTTAGATGTTGCTGGGATAACACAAAGGTTCCCTAATCCAACATGAATTTTCCTCATTCAACCTCACATCATTTCACTAAAGGGGCTGTGCAATATCGATATGTTTAAAAATCTATCATAATAGAAGCCTTTCAATGTCAGTCGATAGATAGTTTTTGATTTGTGTTTTTTTTTTTTCCCTCAGTTTAAAATAAATATTAGGGGGAAACGGCAAAATATGAAGTGCAGCCCTAAGCTTATTTAAACATTTAACATTCAGAAATGGGTCAGCCCTGCCAACAACCATGCTTGGTATAGTTGTTAGGGGACACCTTTCTTCCTCACTTTCTATATATTGAGTTGTTGCCCAGCTACGGTTGACCAATTAAAATTGAAGAGTAAAATGTGCTTAATTGTTTTTTTTTTTTTTTTTTTACAAAATTTGAAACAGGTGAAGCTAAAACTGTGCTGCTTGAGGAATTCTCGTTAGAGAATATTGACAGGGAAAGAAGGTTTTTCTTTTTTAAGAAATACAAAATATATATATTGTTTGCATAGTTTTGGCCTAGTTACTGCTCTGAATGGGTTCTTCTTTAAGCAAATACCATGTTTTAGAGTTGAGTTAATTACTTACTTAATAAAAAGTTTAACTGATATTTAAATAATCGATTAATCACAATAAAAAAAGTTTCAGTTTTACATGGAACTATCCAGTTATGATTAAATTAATAATTCCTTTCTGATTAACTTAATAATACTTTTCTACATATCTAATTATGAAGACAACTATTTTTCCTTTTCTTACCTATAAATTATTGTGTAACCTGCAATACAGAGCAGAAGCCACACCTTAACCCAGACTTGGCACTAACAAGTTTTGATAAACATTATCTTCACCATTTGCATCTGTGAATTTTGTTCGCTGTTATGTAACATAACACATGCTGTCTAAAAGACAAACTGACCTAAAACTCAGATAATTGTATTTTTTATTCTTTTTTTTAACAGGGTTATGACATATCTTTTTTTATTTAAAATTGTTAGTATAGAATGAAGTCATAATAAGGAGAAAACAAACAAACTAAAAAAAAAGTCAATGATTTTAACACTATCCTGTTACCTTTAACCTACTTACAGTGAAATTAGGTTGCATTCATGGAAGGTTTTATCTCCTCCTGCCTTTAAAACTAATAGAAAAGCTTCATCTCCAGCTTTTGTTACTCATTATACAAAAAGAAAAGAAAAATCTTTGAGTCTGGTTCCTTGTTTTCTAATGTTTCATGATATGTTTGCTTGAGATTTTGTTCTAAGACATTTGTTGTTGTTATTTTTGCAGGTTTATTCTTTTTTGTTTTATTTGATCCATATAGGAGAAAAATCTTTATTTAAATTTAAAAAAGGACATTTAGTAGGTCAAACCATTACTAATCATAGTTTCTATTAGCCTAAGTGTAAAGAACATAAGTCATATGAAATCTTATAATAATTAAGGCATAAAATACTTTTTCAATGATATAAAATAAGACAAAAGAAGAGCAAAGCCCTGGTAATCATCTCAAAGATGTCCAGTAACCTTTAACCCAATTTAAATTAACGCTGAATTCAAGAAAACTTTTAAGCAGTTTCATTAATATATTTGCATAAATAGCTCCACTTTACACGGCTGTCTACTAATATGTTATTGACTTTATGCACCTGTGCACAAAAAAAGCGTAAACTATACAGTTGTTGTCAAAGAGTAAAAACTAGCTTCCGTGTTTTATTAGAATCGTGCAGAATAAAAAATATCAGTTTACCTCTGATAAGCGCCATGATGTTGGTTCAGTAATAATCTTTTGGACAGTTGGAACCTCGAAATCGATGCCCTTTCTAATTCTGGCTCCTGATCTGTCCACGGTGGACATAAGAAAGAAGCGCCCAGCTGACCTTTACCCTAAATAAAGCTCTGGCTGTGTGTTTTATTCCCGCAGATTCAATAGGAAATTAATTAATAAACTAAATTCTACCTAACGCCTTTACAGAGTATAAATAAGTTCACAATGTATTCACATGTAATTGTTTAAATAAACTGCAATTATCTTCCAATTTATCATGTTTAAAGGTTTTGTATGCGCTTCAAAATGCTCGAAAATGCGAGAGGTGAATGATAAAAGCGCCTCACTTATTACGTCATCTTTTTGCGCCTTGTCCCTGTTGTGTTCTGTAAGGGGACACAAGTGAGGCGACATGTGAAGACTTTTGTTTACGGTTGTGTTTGAAATAATTAGAGTAAATTGGACCGACTAGAAGTGGAGACATGTCTCTGGTTGTTTCACGCTGCATCTGTGGGGTTTTATCCCGACAGGCTGCCTCGTCACGGTGAGTTTTTTGTAACAGGATGCGGTTCCTAAGTGTCGGAATAAATACAAGGTTAAATAGAAGAGAGGTGAAGCTAAACCAGTGATGAAAGTTTGTTTTCACGATTTGCACATGCCATTCGCTAATTGGTGCTGTTGTTATATTGTTTTGCAGCTTGCATTCTGGATTATATAAAGGTGCTGTGCTGAGTCCCTGGTTTTCACCCGCGGTCACGCTGAAGACATCTGCACCACTTAGGTTTGACAGTCGAGGCAGATTAAAACACAACAATTATTTTCTTTTTGTTTGGCGGGGAAGGAATCAAAAGAATCAACTATTTCCTCATGAATTGAACTTCTTCATTTTTACTATTTTTCCAAGGCTGCACTTTTAAAAGATGAAATTGTCGAGCTGTTTCCAAACGAAATTTCTTTTGGTTTTACACTTGTGTAAACAAAATGGCAAATAAAATCTGTCTAAAGTCTAATTTAGTCGAGACTGGAATCTACAGATAGATTTGAAAGATATCAAAATAATTTATCTCAGTTAATTATGCATTTAAAGGCATTGTTTACACATAGACGCAGTTCTAACCTTTGGTTCCATTAAATGTTTCATCCCCCTATCTAAGAAAAAAAAAAATACTTTTAACGTTTTTTTTTAACAACAACAATACTTAATTGGTTCTCTACCAGAGTCTAATTTAGGAAAGTTTATTGATCGGTCAAGCCTTGAATTTCAAATTATATGCAAAATTTACCTTTATTTGAAAATAAAATATGGGTTTCAAAAACAGCCATTCAGTTCCTTTTTTCTTTAGCCAAGGCTAAAAATTGCTGATGCTTTTATTACAAGTAACCCATGTCCAGGATGTGTCTATGTGATGGCTTTTGAAGCCCTGACTCCAGCTTGAATGGGCTCAGCTATCCCTGCTGTGTGTGAGCATCCACTTCTATTACACCAAAGGTTTCCTTTAGTATGCTTGGATACAGCACTGAGGACCTTCCCTTTGGTAGAGGGTGTTTATCAGTGTCTGCTGAACACTTATTAGGTCAGCAGTTCTCTGTATTAAATTCAATTATTTATAAGTGTTTTGTAATGTTTGTATTTAAAAAAACAAAACAAAACAAAAAAACAGATTTTTGCAGATAAATGCTGGAGTTAAATCACTCTGTGTAAAAATAATCAGACTTTCATTTCTTTAATTTTATTAAAATCAAGGTTTTTTGTAATAAGTTGCAACTAGCTGCATCATTGTGTTGGCATACTTGTTGACTAAAATGCTTGGCAAAACAAAAAGCATTAATAGAATTGGAATTAAAAGTCTCTTATCGAAACTATCACATTTATTTAGAAAACGACACATTTTTAAAATGTCAAAATGTTTGAATGAAATTCTAAGAAATTGTAAAATAAGAGATACGTCTTTTTTTTTTTTCAAATTTTACAAAGTAAAACGTATGTATTGCATAGTAGTATAATAATGTAAAAGGTCAAAGGATTTTACATACAAGTTATTATAGAACAAGTTATTCTTAATTGGGTGTTTCATGAAATCACTAATCCTCAAATTCTACCTGCAACATTACTGATTATAATATAACATTACTGAAAATATACTGGTCAAAAGTATGCTCATGCAGAGATGTGGTTTATGTTGCATTAAGAGCGGAGCCAAAAAAGAAGAAGAAAGCAGACCCACGGAGGGAGCAGATGGTGAGGGAGCGACTGAAGAAGAAGCTGAAGAAACTGGAAAGGGTTCCACCTGAACTCATCCCCATAGAGGATTTCATCACTCCCACCAAGTGTTTGGATGAAACAAGGTCAGGCTTAGTTTAAAACTGCACACACAAGAACTCAACCAAATTAATATTTAACTTTCCCTGAATTTTTTTCTCCTGTTTCACATAGAGAGCGCAGTCCTCCAAAGCTTTCATTTGAAGAAAGTGAGAGTCGAGCACTTCTTCTGAAAGAGTGGAGTCGATACAAACAGGTTATTTTCTGATACTTCATTCCTAAAGGTTTTATAAACAACTAAATGTAAATTAAAACCTTAATGGAAAACTGAATAAAAGATCTAAAAATATTTATTTTGTAACTCAAGAACCTACAGACACCCTGTTTACTGAATGTAGCTTTTTCTGTCTGGTCTATATCATGAATACCTAGAGATGTGGAAATGAGATATTGTCTTTGCTTTGCAGAAACAACACATGGCTGAAGTGGAAGCCATTGAACTCGCCCTGGAGGCACAGAGAGAGGCGCTGGAGGAGCTTAAATTGGAATCCATGGAGCTTTACCAGGCAGCACTGAAGCCAGATCCACTACTGTTTCCTTTCACTCATAAAGGCCCTGCCTACACGCCTCCAATCCCAAATTATGAGGCTCCAGATGGAAAGTACAATGATGTCACCAAAGTGTACACTCAGTGAAAACCTGTGGCTGCTGCCTGTCTTTGTTTGATATTTAAACATAATTCATCAGGCTGGGATCCTGCCTTTTAATCCGTCTGCGAAGGCCATTGGGATGAATATGTTGCTAACTGTTTCCTTACCGTTTATATAAACATATGGCTCTGGTACATAATTACTCATAAGTTGTTTTTATTCAGACCTCGAAAATGTTGAAAATTAAAGTTTGTTTATTCAAATGGTTCCTTTTTTGAAGTGACTGATTTCTCAATTTAGACCAATGATGAATTCACCTATAGAGACTCCAAATCACACATCATAGCTACCTTTGTTTAACATCAATACGTTGGGGTGTCAATAGACTTTTAGACTTTCTGTCCCTTCACTTTAATGGGTTTTATTTCTGAGGGTGTATTTTTTTGTACTCATTACTGATAAAAGCTATTTAGCTGTAGTTCTGCATAAACCCTGTAATTATCCTGGCCCCACAGTGCATAATTTTACCATAAACATTAGGATATCAAGGCAGGTCAAATAACCTTAGACTGATCCCCAGTAATACAAAGTTTTAATTCAAGTGCAGCTTCAGAATTTACCCTTAAATAAAGCACAGCACACGACTTCAATTTTAAATACCTCCTTAAATTAGGGGTAATACATGAAGCTAAATTTAAATCAGTTCTTCTGTACTACCATGTTTAACAAACTTTCCATAAATGTGTTCTGTACAAAAATCAATTCAACACCATAGATCATTTTAGATGCAGCAGCATTCTACGTAATATCTACATCAGATTTCATTAGTTCATATTGCAAGCATGTCCAATCAGTTCTGTTGGTCTTCCTGGTCCAGAGGTCTGTGCCAGTCACTAGGAGGCTCTTGCCTTAGTTTCCACACTGGGGTGAAATTTCCTTGCTCTGCCAATCGCATTCTTTCACTTTTCTGTAGAGCATCCTAGAATGTAAAAACAAAGTTAAATTTTTAATAAAACTTTATGGTCTGTAGGGGTTTAAGAGTAGCATATATTCAGGTCTTTTTATAGAAGATTGTATTGTGAAGCTGCACCTTAGCCTCTCCGAGTCTGTGACTTTCCCATTCCCTGCAGTTTTGGTAGTCCACTTTCCACTGCTGGCAGGACAGGGCGGTGCCGTAGGCGTAGAAGTGGTGAAAACGATTCCTGAAACTCTTGCAGTGCCTGAACTCACTCAAGTAATCTTCACAAGCTCGGGGTGGCTGCAGAGACCCAAGAACAAAGAATGTAGTTTGGCTTTAGAAGGAAACGACAGTAATGAGCATTCACTGCTGTGGATTTTGAGGACAATAGTAGATAGGACGGAGACATCAGAAATTAGAAATCTGGGAGGAGCTCTAATGCTTTTAGTACAATATTTAAAGTTCATTAATCACCCATAAGCTCAAGTTCCCCCCAAGAAATGCCAATTATGATTACATTTCTCACTTTTGTGTGTTGAATACTATAGTTTATAATGAAATTAAAATAGCAAGCAATGCTCTTTAACAGGGTTTCAAGAAAATCATTTTTCTTTAATAATTGGCTGATTAAAAGAAGACCACATAACTGAAAGACCGTAATAAAAAGGGTACTAAAAAGGCTCCATCAGTACAAGCAGCTCATACAGTTATCAAACATAGTGGAAGAAGTATGATGATGTGGGCTTGAGCTGCCATCACATGACTCGAGCATTTTGCAGTGGTTCAACTTGTTACCTTGACATTTCTGGAGTTATATTAGCAAAATGCATTTATCTGCTAGATGCCAAGTTAAAGACTGATCATTCAACAGGACAAAGAATCATTTAATTGTTCCTGAAGGTTTTTTTGTTTTTGTTTTTCAAGCTACTAACACATATTTGTGTTTTACTATAAATAAAATGAAAGTCAGAAACTCTTTTTCAACAGCTATTGATAAAATTAAAATAAATGCATAAAAATAACTTCTAATACAAAGACGTATCCGAAACGAGTATCTTAAAAACAGATAAACTAATATTACAGTAAACCTATAAACAGCGCCCCCTGGCGTCCGTCACTGCACTTGGACGTAGTTTTTCTGAGATTATCGAGTTCTTTTTCTTTTTATTCACACATTGATAAGCATTAAGTAAACACGAGTAACTGATACCTCAACATACTTAAATAAAACTCATTGACACACCTCCCATTTATTCTAAATGTTCCTCTC